GGTTCTAATTCTTGGAGATTATATTCCAAGCAGTGGAATACCTGGGTCATATGGAATTTCTATGTTCAGCTTTTTGAGGAAATGCCAAACTGCCTTCCAGAGTGGTGTGCCTTTTACAATCCCACCAATGTGTTCCTATCTCACCACATCTAGAGGTATACTTTAGAAGGAGTGAAAAAAAAATATGTTTTCTTCAATTTTCCCCCCAGCAAAAATAGCAAAGTTCAACAGAGCACTAGCCTTTTGGCTAGGCTAACAGTTGAGAGCATAGTTCCCCCCTTTAGTTATCATCGTCATCATTTTACTGAACAGAAACGGCAGTGGATTTTTTAAGGAAGTAAGTCCAGATGAATGGCTTTGGTAATGTCCATGGAAAAGCACTAAATGGCTGTTAAAATTATGGAGAGCTTTTTTGCTTTTTTTTTTTTTTTTAAAGCAAATAAATCATGAGGCTCTACAAAGTAGCTTAGAAAATCAAGTTTTCTATTTATTTAAAAATAAGTTTGTAGTTACTACATTGCAAGGGCAGGGATTCTTACACATACATTCTACTTTGTATAAAAGGATTCAAAGAATTATGCATCAAAAACTAACATAGAAAGTGTCCACTTAACAGTAAAGAAAGGTCCAATCAATATGTACAAAAAGAAAGGGCACTGCTATCCTGGTGTGAGACTCATTATAACATGATATTCCAGGGTTCTGGAAGGGGGAAAAAACCCTCAGTAAAGCTAAATAATTAATTTGTTTTTAAACTCGTGTTTACATAACACATTAACAGATTTTCTTGTGTTTAACATTGTTTTTATATAAAATAAACAATTTTAATTTGAAAATGTGTCAGTTTCAATATTAACCCTCTAGGTCAGTTACTTTTTAAAAACTGAGCTACATTCTACACATGTCTAAATATCATGTGACAAGATTTAACCAGATCTTTAGTAAGACTCCTGTGTCTTCTTATAGTTTTAATATGGTCCAAAAATGTAACTTTGTATGCTGTAGAATTTCATAGTTTATCACTGTGATAAATCAAGATGCACAACCTTGAACATAACCAGCATGGTAATATGCCTTATATGCATGTGCATATACACCATCTTGAACCTATTCTTAGTTCCTTCAATTTAGTAACTCACAGCCATCAACTAATATTTGGTTTGTGCCATATAAATTTCCTGATGGTCTTATCTGCATTTATAAGTTTATTTCAACAGAGTTATGAAACAAAAAATTATGTGTATTTATAGTTTAGTATTTTTCTACTTGTTGCTTTATAAAGGTGTGTACAAGGTTTATCTAGGGAGCGCCAAAGTGTGAAGTTCTTGAGACTATTCTGAATCTAAATTGTTCCTGAAGAAGTACACAAAAATAACATTTCATTGGAGCGCTTAGTTAAGCATAACTGAGAATAACAATAGTTCTCTTAGTAAATGAAGTTTTAGTTCCAATCACTTGGAAATGTGGGAGATGAGAAAGGGTTTATTTTAAAATTTTAACCAGAGAAATAAATTCCCACCTAAATATACTACATCAGGGTTCAACCTGTTGTTAGAAGTAATAAAATACAAAACTTATTTTCTTAAAAAAGAAAGAAAAGGGAAAAATTACTTTCTGTGTTAGGAATTTTAAAATCATGTATTCATGTAATGCCTATTATGACCCTCTAATCACAAATTAACTTGGTCCTTTCAACTTTTAAAGTTTAGGTGAACAGAAAAATTAACATTTATTTTTATTAGCCAAACTGAAAAGCAAAATTACTTCCAGATGACATGAATGTTGTGTGCAAGTTTGTGTGTATACACTGGAATGTCAGAATTAAAGTAAATGTTACTGACTGGAGGGACTAATTACTGCTGGAAAATCTTCAATGAGCAATGGTTTCCATGTAATTTATGTCCAAGTAACAATATATATATTTGACCAATCTCTAATTATATTTAAGGAGAAGACAGTCTTGTAACAATGCCACCAAATAGTTTTTAAATGTGTTGAAGCGAAACAATGAACAAGGTCAATAAATCATTTTTAACAATTAACTACATTTCAGTTACAAGGAAACCTTAATAAGCTATATAGCCATGACCCAGGGTTATTAGACTGTGATTAGACTAAATATGTAAACTACTGAGCTGCAACATTTAGAATTTGATTGACAAATTCCAAGAATCACCTTGGAGCTGATAATGGGGGTGAGAGTAAAAGAGGAATACATAGAGTAACAGAATAGAAAATTTAAAAGTATAAAAGATGGACTTACATTTCTACATGTGCGAAAAATGGTATTTCTAGAATTTGTGACTTTTTGTATTGCTAACCTAAGACAAATGCCCTTATTTCCTTCTGGCATATAAATAGTACACACATGGTATCACTGTCCTAAAAAGGATTACTTGTTTCCAAATGGTAAAACAAAAGGAAGAAACGATACGATGACTAACAACTAAACTTTTGAAATGTATAGAAACTAAATTAGAAAAAAGATAAAAATCTAAATTATCTGGTATTATGAAAACATTTTAAAGTGTTTATCAATTATAAAGAATCTAATCCAAGCAATTTTTGTTTTACTAAGAAACCAGTGTCTATTAATGTTCATTTAAGGTCATAAATATACAGTGTCTTCAGAACAGGAATAATGCATTTACTTGTTGCAGAAAGATGTTAAAAACCCATTTCTTTACTTAAGAGTTTAATCCATACACTGTACTAGAGGTCTGATATATTACTCTAACACTGTGTATAAGTTCTTCCTTTTCCTGTACACACCTTAAAACTATACATTGTTTACAAAAATCAATTTGATATAATCTATTACTTTTACTAACACAATGCAGATAACATCAGGAAATTACATACTTCAAATAGTCTGCCCTTAGAAACAACAAATGACTTAGTTCAAACATTACACACTATTATTTTCGAGTGTAACTGTAAGACTCATTTTACCATGTAACCAAACCATCCATTTCTGCATTATGAAGAGTTCAACTACTGAATTTTAATTATATAGTTAAATAATTTTTGTCAGAAAAAAAGACAAAAAAACCCTGAAAAATTTGACTCATATTTTTCAACTGCAAAATCACAGCAATCCAGTTAACATCTGGAAAAAAGGTTTACTTAATTTCACAGGATTTCTGTACAAATTTAGTTACAAACAATCTAGAAATTCCAAATGCCTCACTTTCCATTCTTTTCATGACAGTTAAATGACCCAAAATAAGTTACTGTGTTATGTGTTTTACCAAGGTTCAATGTAAAGTCTTTTATTTTTCTACATCATGGTCATGCTGAGAAATATTTTTCTCATCCTAACTTTTGAAAATGTAGTATCTGAAAATTTTGGTTACATTTTTGTACCATACAAGTCCTCAGAAAATACTACATTCGTTAAACTTTTTAAAAATGGACACTAATTTTCAAACAATAGAAATGGTATTTATGTTGGTTTTTAAGGTATAAAATAACGAAATGTACCATAAACAAATAAATAACTGCTTTCCTCTTCCATAGCAGTACATATAGTAATACATTCTCCTAAGTCATATAGTTATCATTTACAATAGACAACTTAATTTTACTAATGATGCAAAAAAAATAATAGAATACAAGGCACAATCATTAATGAAGTTTTCTTTAGGGTGTATACTGACATACCAGCGTGATAAGGATACCGTAAAAAGTGCAGAAAAAACACAATGTGCAATGAGACCACTGTATAAAACATGATTGCATAAAAAGTGATTTGGCCTATTTTAACTTTTAATAATGGAAAATAACCAATCTTCCCCTTAAAATTAAACTATAAAGTATGACATTTTAAAATTATTTTTATTCTAACACTATCTAAAAAATCCTGAAAAAAGAATTTATACCTGGGTAATTGTATATAAGTATGTGTTTGTATATATATTTAATTATACCTATTTATCAATATATACACACACATACACAGAGACACATTTCTTTGTAAGTCATTTTAGCCTATTAGATATGACTAAAGTTTAGAAATTACATCAATCCAGATCGACAAGTAAACATCAAATTCCATACCTTTTTCTCCTGTATTTTCCTTGAATCCTTTAACCACTTAAATATCTTCTCTAAAACATCTCTGTCAAAGGACCCACCAGTGCATTATTTCCTACTATTAGTACCAAAAAAGATACATCTCAGCATAACTCTAATAATATGCTTTTTAGAATAATATATAGCATTTTCCAGTATTGAAAATTGTATGCTGTCCCGACAGTTAAAAACTGGCTTTCCACTGCACTGATTCTCAGTCTTTGGCACAATAAACAGAGATTGAGTGATTGATATTAAGAATCAAGGTCTGAAAAATTAGACAGTCAAATGTTTTTCCAATGTGGATAAGTTTCCTTTTCATCAGTACATTTTCTCTTAAGTTTGGCAGAAATGGAATAAAGCAAAAAAGCCTCTTCTAGACTCTTTAATTAAAATTAAACTTTTTAGGTTATCAAATGTTGGGAATTTTCTATCGATACATATTTCTTCATTTACTGCTACTCTGAGTTCACATCTGGCTTCCTAGGGGCACAAGTTCGGCATCAATAGAAATGTACCTTGCTTGGTCAAAAATAAACATTCATTTTTAACATGAAATGCTCAATCACTTAGGAATATTATGCTCAAGAGTTTAGCAGAACTGCCTTTTCCATAAATAAATCAGGAATTCAGTATAAGTTCTCAATTTCTTTTGTCTCAAACAGTGAACAAAATAAATGTTGAAATGCATAACCTATCTAAGGGCAATAAATAGCAAACATTTAAAATATATATGTATATATTTATATATATATTCATTTAAAGAAGTGAAGTGTCTCGTAAGTTTGTTTTGTTTTTCTTTTTTGCAAACCAAACTGTAACATTCCTTAACCCACCATAGCAGCAAGGAAGCAGAAGACTTAGTTCTACGTACTCCTTAACTGTACCTGCATTGTAGATTTTGAAGTACAATATTTTGGTACAAATTACCAACCAATTAAATTAGCTTTTGCTTTTTCAGTCAACTTTCGGACTCGTCCCCTACTAGAAGTTCCAAAAGTCAAAGAGGTGTCTTCAAACAACAGCTGCCTTTGCTCCTCCTCTGAGTCATCCTCATTATAGAAAGCTGTCCTGCGGCCTTGGTTTCTAGTTCTCATGTGGGGTTCAGAGCCTTTAAGTTCCTCAAACTCTTCTTCCTCATCCACAGGATCATCTGTCTTTTTCCGGTTACTTCTTCTTAACATTTTAACACTTGTAGGAACCATAATATCTGAGTCTAATTTTGGTGTCTTCCGTTTGGGTTTTCTGCCTCCTCGACTCTTTTTCTGTAACAAATCTTCCTTTACAATAGTAGGTTCAGAAGAAAAACTACATGCTGAAGAAGAAACTACTTCATCTCTGATGGGATGTGCATTGTTTTGCTGTGAATTTTCAGGCTTTGGATACTGGAGGTTTTTGGGTTTCCTACCCCTTTTCTTATGTACAATTTCACCACTACTGCTTGTGTTAACTTCTATCTTGGGTTTTCTTCCAGGTCCCCTCTTGACAAGTTTTGATGTCTGCCCTCCATGGCCATTTAGCTGAATGGTTCCTGGAAGATGAGTGCTGTTCTTACAATCTGCAAAAAGGGGACAATATGATTTAGTGCATGGAACTGCTTTCAGTTTGACCCTCCTTCCAGTCAATAAGGTCTACTGCTAATACTTATTTTCTAATAAAAACTCACAGATGAGAAATAATCCTTTTTAAAAAAATCATCAGTGACCTTTAATTAACATGTGAGTGAACAGGGTGGAGAGAGGGGAAGAAACCAACTTGTCTAAACTAATACTATAAATTGATGAGTTAGGATTAACCAAGATTTCTTAATCTAACTAAAATTAATAAAGATGCGAGAAGTGATGCCTTTGAGCTGTGGTGTTGGAGGAGAGCACTGAACATCCCATGAAGGCCAAAAGAATGAACAGATCCTAACAACAACATCTAATTTTACTACACATTCTAATGTACAACCATTTTCTTTTTATTCTAACAAAGTGACTCATTTTATAAAGTTTTTTTTTTTTAAATCTTGTTTTTCTATATTCTTGCATACCTTTAAGCAATGCAAATTATGGAATATATAAGGGAGTGCTAGTGGACTAGTTTACACTAGACTTTCAACTAAACCAAGAGGCCCTACCCTCCAGAATCCAACTGCTTCACACATGAGCCTCCAAACTGGAGACTTATAGGGCCAAACTGACTTTGAAATACAAAGGCGCGCCGCCCACCAGGTCCTGAATGACTTTCAGCCCACAAGTGATTGATCAATCTGATTACAAATTATTGTAAATGAAACAAAACCCAACTAAATAAATAGTTTCAGCTGGGGGCTAGAAGCCTGCTGTTGATTCTGTTTGGGAAGAAAATTTTCTAAGTGGTATAGCACTTGTTTGTCAGTTTGCTGTAGAGATAACTTGGTTTTGCTGTGATATGGAAAGGTGTGTCAAATGCCATAATGATTACCCATGGTAGACAGGGTTTAAGATTAAGACAGGCTTTGGAGGCAGGACTGGCATCTACTTCCTAAACAACAGCCCTTTGGAAACTCTAGGAACATAAGAGCAACAGTTATGTAACAGGATCCAGATCTTTTGTTCACAGCATTGTTATGAGTTGTACTGGATTCGACAGCACCTAACAGCCAAGTGACCTAGTGAAATAAAAATGCATTGCCAATCCACCTCTGATTCTCTGCTGGATAAAGATGGGCGATCTCCTCCTGTGTGATTTAGTGCCTCTGAAAACCCACTGGAGGGTCAGTTCAGAATTGATAGTACATAACAACCATAATCATCTTAGCTTAAAACTTACGACCTTTAAATTTAGTAAACACTGTAATTAATTCTATTAGTCCTTTTCTTCTGATTATTTGTACCTGATATAAGAATTAAAAATCCTTACCTGATCCTGTGTGGATGATTATCTCTGAAGAACTTAGAATCTAAATATTACAACCTTTATAAAAAAGCCTTATCTTCTTATGAAACTGAACTGCCAATGATTGATTTACTATTTTTAAGGAATATAGACTACATAAAATTACCGAAAATGGTTATGTGCCACCATGATTATGATTAAAAATCTAATATCATTATGAATCATAATAAAGGGAAAAAAGGTTAAAAAGCCATGACAGTTTCAGATGAAGGGCAAAGATATTATACATACATTAACCCAAACCCTTTTGTCCTCTATGATTCTAAAATTTTATTTGGTTATGGTGGATGATTTGTAGTAGAGTATTATAAAGGAAATCTGCAGAGGTACAAAGTTATAAAAAAAAAAAACTTCTTCACAACAGCATTGTGGTCATGATTTTTAATTTCCTGCTTTGTAAATATCAAAAAAGAATGCCCAAAAGACTCATGAGAAAGAATGAGATTCAGTCAGCTCAACTCAACACTGTCGAGTCAGAACTAACTCATAACTGCTGCCCCCCACAGGTTTTCAGAGACTAGAAATCAAATAGGAGAATGCTATCGAACAGGTGGCTTGACTTTGAGTTTGTAGTGCAAATTCTTGCCTGTAAGTCCCCAGAGTTCAGGAGTCAATAGCACAAAAAACAAAAACCCTTATTTCCCAAATGCTTACCACACAAATGAAAATTTTTTAGATTAGTCATTATTCATTATATATGAATTTGAGAGAGCAAGGGGTGCAGAGTAGTTAAATGTTTTCTACCAAATGATTACATTTAAACTGCCTGAATGAAGACCCTACACCTTTTCTGTTTTCATCAAGACTACTAAAAAGTGTCCTAAATATGGAATCCACGTTTCCATTAAAAATTAAATAGATGAGCCTCAAGGCTTCCAAGAAAACTTCTGGAATGATCCAAAATTTTTTCTGGATATGCATTTGTACATTTTTAAGGAAAAAGAAAAAGTCAGTAGCATTCACCAACTTTATAAAACAATATATAACTTAAGAAGATTAAACACTAATGTGGTTCTCTTAAAAAAGGAATTCACCATAATCAGAAAAAAAAATATTTTAAAAATGCACTAATCTGGTCCTATGTTGTCTAATAACATAACTATTAACAATGAATAGTTATTATTTGTTTTTACTAGATAAACCTTTTAGAAAATGTGAAGTTATTTATGTAGCTATTACTGTATTTCTTTTGGACAGCTCTGCTTGAAACTGAGTGTTAATTTCGACCTATTCATGTCATAAATCATAGTGAGTTTTTTGGTGGCTCATCCTAATTCTATACTGTCCTAGTATGGCCAAATATTTCTAAAAGTAAAAATCTCTGTTAAAATGACTACTGGAGTTCTCTTATTATAATATAAGAACCATATTACACAATTCCCTGTATCTGTTTGGTTTCACAGACTTCAGAAGTAACAAAGATAAAAATGATATTCACTACTTTTTAGATTCTAGACTCCATCTTACATACTCTGGGCCAAGTGGAACCAGTCTTTGAAGGTGGTTATGGTTGGAAGGGTTAAGAGATAGCACAGGAGAGAAGACTCCAGATGAGATGGACTGACACAGTAACTGGGGTAATGAAGGTAGGTAGGTGTGTCAGACAGAGTAAGACTGGTTCAGGATGGAGCAGGGTTCAGAGATATTGTACGTAGGGTCACTCTGAGTCATAGTTGACTTGATACATAACACATAACAACAATAATAAAAAAATCAAACTATTCTGCTTTTTGCATAAATCTGTGAAAGTATGAGAGTTGCATAGGTACCCTGAAAAGTGAGCACAAATGATATTAATTCTAAAAAAAAAAATAACATCTTTAAGAGGGCTCTACTTTATCCTGGATGATACCAGTAATACGTACCTTGCTCAATGACTGCTGATGTCTTTGAAAGACTGGATGCCTTTGCGAGTACAGATGACTTCATTTTACGTTTGACTGGCTTTTCCTTTTCTGTGTATTCTTTTGTAGAATTAGTCCTAGTGCCATGACTGAAGTTGGACTGAGCAGGACTTGAGACAGTATTCAAAGTTTTGGAATGTTTCACAGAATTCTCTAGTACTAAAATAAACACAACACCCAAGAGATTAAAACTCAAGAGTTATTTCTGAACCTAAAAATAAGCAAAAAAGGTAGACACTGCTTCTAATCTTAACTGCGTGAAACAGCCAAAAGCATACAACCTATGGAATACATAAAGCCTTTTCTTTAGTACAGATCTATACTGAAACAAAGAAGCAAATATAATTAGAAACTTTCTGTCATTTAAAGAGGATTATGGCAAGTAAGTTCTAGCAAACTCATATCAAAGAATTATCGATCAAGTTGTCATTTCTATTATTCCACACTGACATTCTTAAAACTCTATTTTATTAAAAATAGCATTTTTTAAAAGCAAAACATGAAACACTGGTATCTAAAAGTAAAGTTTAAGTAATTTAAATGTATACTTTATCTCCCTCTCCAATCATTATATACACTTCCATTTCAGAAGTATTAACTGGTTCTTACTTGTTTTTCCTGGTACTGCTGTTGTATTTGCTTTTGGAATAAAAGTTTTTGCAGCTGAAGAAGTAGATGGTTGTTCAGCAATAAGTGAATCTGCAGCCACTCTGTTGCTTCTGGTTCGAACCACAGAACTGGATTCTATTTTACCATTCATCTGAGCAGCATTATTTCTGGGTGGTACCGACCGTGTAGGTGTAGGGAATGGAGAGGTAGAGATATCTGACTTAAGCTGAGGTTTTAAGATCTTTCTTTTCCTTTCAGGGCTGTAAATAAGATAGTACCTTCAGTTATTCTTATAAGCTCTATGTAAATAAGTAATAAATAGTTTCATAATACTTCTGGATTCAAAAATTGTACTATTATGAAATATGTTAAAATATGAGATTTGTAGTGGATTTCGTATGGTTGTGAGCCTTTGAAAAGTGATTATTTAGTGAAGGATTGCTGTAAATGCTACAGTTATATGACAGAAAGCATGATGCCATCACTATCCTAATAATGCTGTTTTACTGTATAGATTTAGCAGTTGGAATTTAGCACTTACACTAGTATAGGTTTAGTTAAAAGTTTAAAAATCCTCCACATCATAGGAACTTGCATGTCAAATATATCATTCTGCAATATAGGGAATAGTAAAGGACGTATTAAAAAACACCAAGTTCTATTCATTTAGATGCCAAAGTTATAGATGAGTTGATGCTATCTAACAGAAATTAAATACCTTGATGCAGTACTACTGGAAATAGAACTGCTTCTGTTCCTTTTTTTCCTCTTTTTGGTCATTGTATTTCTTTTATGAAAACGAAGAGCAGATTTATAATCTGATAAAACTGAACTAATGTGTTCTTCAAAGAAAGCAGACAGGCGCAAACTCATGCTGTAAATCTATGAAAAGGGGAAAAAATGGTTCATAGATTCTTAAATAGAAAATGATAAGTAATTACTAACATAACTGTATAGCTTTCTAGAAAAAACTTTTGCTAATTTCAATACTGCTTTTTCAACAAGTTATAGGTAAAATGGAAGCATTTTTATAATTTAATAATTTTTTGTTTAGGATATGAAACTTCCAAACTCCAAAATTCCTAAAGGGAAACCCCCACTCTGCATTCAGATGTCTCAGAAAGAGAAATTAGTAGTCTACTATGCTATGTGCTGGGCTGCTAACCAAAAGGTCTCTAGTTCAAAGGCTCCAGTTCTAAATCTCCTCCCATTAAAGTCTGATAGCCCTGAAAGCTTGAGAGAGCTAGGAAAGCTACAAGCTGGAAGCAACAACAGTGACAGAGAGTGGGTTCTTTTGCGGGGTTCCCCCGCCCCCGTCCATAGAATATTCAGTGAAATCTGAAACTAAGGATATTAAACCCAAAGATTCTGAGCCACTGCCGCCTTGGGCTAGCATCTATATTCTATTACTGCAAATAAAAAAAAGGTATCACTCCTTCTGATGTCACCTCTGGTGAAAAATATACTTTTTAAATAAATTACTCACAAATTTTCCTTCCTATTAATGTGCTAGGGTAAAGCTTGTCTATTATAACTTATAAACAAAGGCAAAAATAAGCAAGGTAACATACTTTTCTATTAATATGTAATTTAAACAAAGAATACTTTATACCCTTGATCTTTTGCTTGGGGTATATGCTTTGGAATTACTAAAAATAAGTCTGACATCTTTACATAATTCCATTGGTGATTCATAATTCCCAGCCTCTAAAGTTTCTCTAACAGTAGCAAAATCCATTGGAGTGTCAATGATGTCTCGGTAGTCCTAAACGGGGTAAAACAGAAAAAGTATTATCACAAAGCATTCTTTCTCAGCAGGAGGATTATGTACAATTTCTGATTAATTAAAATTCAAGAACTAGTTATAAGCACTCTTTATTTCCCTGATAAATGTTCACCCGTTCTAGTAATTTAATGATTCCATACCCTCTCCCTTTTAAAATGTCCTTTTTCTACCTTATGATGAAAGACTGAGGTATGGGGAGAGACATAGAAACCTTGGAGCTAAGCTGGGGAAGGAGAATTAAGAGTAATTAAAAATTTATAATTCTAGAAATATAACTAATAGCTTTTAAATGAAGTCTGGTATAAATAAAACTTTATACTACTAATAAATCATATATGGTTTTTCCCCCCCCCTAAATCATAAAAGCCTTCGTTCTAGCACCTTCAACTTCATTACTGTAATTGGAAACTTTTCAGTTATCAAGCCTTATGAATAGAAATGTTTGTTATAAAGTCTGTGCACTTTATTCCACAATGGACTTCATCATCCATGGTCTCTACCCAGTTAACTATGCATGAAATAAGGCAACTATAATAATGCCTTGCATTATTTTCCATCTATGAGGGAAAGCATTCTTGTTTTCACCTTAAGCATATTGTGTTTCTGACTGCTGCTGAGTGGAGCACAACTCACAGTGACCGTATGAACATCCATTTATCAAAGCTCATAGGGTTTCTAGAGGCATGTTGTTTAGGAAGTGGATACCACTCCTGCTTCTAATCAAGTCGAGAAAGTTGCCCTCTATTTTTTGTTTTATGAGTTATTTCTATCATAAAAACTGTTTCATTACGTACAGAACAACCAGCCTTATAAACCTTAAGCCAACCCTACATGGTCATGATATAATAATTTTGTTATTTACAGATTTTGTAAATGATATAATAATTTTGTAAATGATATAATAATTACAAATTTTGTCATGATATAATGATTTTGTTATTTACACATTTTTTTTAGAGGGATCTCTGGTCTAGTGGTAACATTTTCTCTGGAATCCCGAAGGCACTTGTTTCGAATCTGCCAGCTGCTCTGAGGAAAAAGGATAGGCAATTTCCTCCCCCATGCAATTAACTACTTCTGAAAACACCCTAGAGGGTCAGCTATGAGACAGTTCTGACTGGATGGTAAACAACAACTGTATTTTTTGGTTACAAGTTTTCGTATTTATGGTCATGAAGGATATCAGCCTAATTCTCTTATTTTGTACATACGGATTTTCATATACTAATGTTTATGTAGTGAGTTACTTCCCTCTTCTTTATTTTGGAGGAGAATACATAAGACTGTGTTAAGACCATGAATATTTGGTAGAATTCTATAGTAAAGTCAATGATGATTTTTTTAAAAAGGGTTTTAAATACAAATGAAGTTTCCTTAATATTATCAATCTTCTCAAAGTGCCTAAATTGTGATAGCTAATACTTTCCATGAACTTAAAATCTTTTCCTCACCACTGGACCAATAGACAACATCATTACACATCCAGAAAAGACTGTAGTTGTCAACGATTTCATTTTTCTTGGATCTACTATCAATGCTCTCTTAGTACCAAGAGTCAAGAAATCAAATGTAACATTAGGATTGGGCATATCAGAGACTGTGAAATTGGTGGATGATAAGGTAAGGTTCAAATTTGTTGTTTACAGGGTCACCATCATAGTAATGGGGTTGATGGCATCAAGAATAACATGTCTTCCAAGTGGTCCATTTCCTGATTGCCAATTATATAGGTATAAAGTTGTCTGCAGTATTTATTAACTTTTTGATAGCTGGAGGGTCTGTAGTAATTCCTTATTTTTTTTCTATTCTTGATAGTAATAAGTAATTACAACTGCTTACCAATTTTATTGATCTTTCAAAGAATCCTTTTTACTTTTCTGATTTCAGCATAATTGCTTTCCATTCTTACTAATTATTCTTACTCTGGTTCATTCTTTCTAGGTTATCTATTTGGAAACTTACTGGTTTTGAGATTTATCCTCTTAACGTAAACACGTGACATGTCATACAGCAGATGTCCCTCTCAGCATTGATTTTTTAATAGTATCCTATAAAGACTGATAATGTATCCATATAAAATAGCTCAATGTCAATTTTCCTATAAGAGTCTGACTTTGATGTATAAAGTGTGGTGTTTGGTTTCCATGTGTATGGAGACTTACACTTTTTTGTTTTTGATTTCTAGTTTGATTCCACTGTAACTGGAAAATGCACGCTGGGATTTCAATTACTTGAAATAAATGTGCATTGTGCAATTGTCAGTTAGTACTCTATAAACATTTTAGTACTGGCTGATGGTGTGTCAGGGAGTTCTACATCTGTGCTGGTTTACAGTCAAATTCTGTCAATGTTTGCAACAAGGTTGTGAAGTCTCCAACTATAACTATGGTGTCAATGTCTGCTTTCCATTCCAGTACACTTTGTGATTCTTTTATTATGTAGCTGAGTTACTCGAACATACTTTTAAGATTGTTATAGCTCAGGAGAGCAACCAAGATGGTGGCAGAGGAGGAAGCAGTGTAAGGAGCTGGAGGAACAGCAAGGTGCATAGAAATGAGTCACCAAAGAGACCAACATGGCACACAGAGACCGACGTGGTGCAACATGAACAGTAGGAATTTGAATCAGAACTTTCATTAAAATAATTAAGTTTGTGGGGGAGCTCTGGTGGCCTAGTGGCAAGGAGCTGCAACTACAATCCCAGAGGCACATGGTTGAGTCCACCAGATGTTCTGCCGGGGAAGGAAGGACAATCTCCTCCTGTACCAGTCAGGTCTGATTTGACAGTACATTCGCACAAAAACAATAAAATAAAAATAAATAATAATTAGTTTGGGAACTACAGGAGCAGAGAGCTGCAGGCACCAGTGGAAGCCGGCATTTGAGCTGCTGTGGGACCCATCCTCCAGGAGAAAGCATGTTAGTGGGAAACTGACTGGGTTTTCTTAAACCCAACTGACCTGCCAGGAGTGAGCTGGCCAGTTGGAATCTGACTGAATTTTCATGGCCCCTGCCAACCACCCAGGAGATCACCCAGGAGCGAGTGGGATGGTAGGAATTTGACTGAGTTTTCTTGGAACCTACCAACCTGCCAAGAATGAGTGAGTCAGTGGGAATATGACTGAGCTTTCTTAGGGCCTGCTGGGCAGAGGCTGCTGGGTGAGAAACAGACAAGTGGAATCTGAGTAGGGACCCCACTCAAGAGCATACCTGGACAGCTGAAATCTGAGTGAGGTCCCTAAAAGTAGCTGACCTGTCCTTGTGGTTATGCCCCATCTCCACCACCACCCCACCGGCCGCCTTGCCTGCCGCTGCCCACAATTCGGCCTACACATCAGTCAAATCAACTTGCCTTTAATCAGGAGCACCTTGATTGATTTACCTAAAAAGAGGCTGTTTTCATAGGCCCTGAACTGAACTTTCCCTTGAGTCAGAAGTTAAGAGAGAAACAGAGGTGGGGTAGGTTCCCCACCGATTTCTAGAGCATAGTCTTCAGATCAAGAACCTATCAATGTCAAGAAAGAAGCAAGCTATCCTACACCCTACACAAGCACAAAGCAAGATGTCACCCCCAAAAGGTGACACAGTATCAATGGATTTCTTCAAGTCAGAAAGTCTGATGGAACTTTCTGACACAGAATTTAAAAGAACAATGATTGACTATTTTCAATGGGTGAAAGACAAACTTGAAGGATTATAGGACACTGCAACCAAAAACCAGGAGGAGCTTAAAAAAACAATCCAGAACAATGCAAATAAAACAAACTAGGTATTAGTGGTACTGGAAAAACAAGGAACCATGATCCAAAATATAAGGTCCATTGTTTCAGATGCCGTCAACTTGATGGAGGGTCACATGAGCAGAGTTGAAGACATGGAACACAGAACCAGTGAAACAGAACCGTCACCACTGATCTGCTTAGAACAAAAAGCAGAATGAAAGAGGAAGGAAAAAGAAGAAAACCTAAGAATAATGTGGGACACAAGAGAAATACATGCATATCATCAGAATCCCAGGAAAGAAAAAGAAGCAAGTAAAGGCACCAAAAAAGATGTGGAAGAATTACTAGAGGAAAACTTCCCAGGCATAATGAAGAATGAGAGTATACTCTAGAAGCTGAGCAAACACCATATAGAACAGACCGCAAAAGAAAACCACAAAGTTATTAAATCTGCCAGAACCAAAGATAAGGAGAGAATTCTGAAAGCAGTGAGGACGAAACAAAGAGTAACCTATAAAGGAGCGCAGATAAGAGCAAGTGCCAATTTCTCAGAAGAAACCATGTGCGCAAGAAGACAGTGGAAGGACATATATCAAACAATCAAAGAATACAACTGTCAACCAAGAATACTAAGCAAAACTGTCCGTCAATATGAATGAGAGATCAAGATATACACAAAACTAGAACCTAAGGGAGTTTGTAAAAACAAGACCAGCGTTGCAAGAAACAGAGACTTCCTTGTAACAGAGGTGCCACAGAAAAAGCAGCCTGGACTAAAGTAACTAGCAACACCAAAAAGAACTGAACACAATGATAGCAAGGGCCAATGTGCTGAAAGGGTGCTCTTGAACGGTAAACCATTCTGTACAGGAAAGGCTGTTATTTCAAATTGCAGTTTTGTTGTTTGTTTTTTTTTTCCCAACAGGGAGGGGTCACTATCTCCCCACTGGGTGGAGGCCCATTTGCACTGCTTCTTGACAAGTAAGTTTAGGGTCTTGATTAGCAGAAATTGATTCCAAATCTATGATCTTGTCTGTGATGAACCTATCCCGAACCTGAATTTCTGTTGAAAAATAAAATTGACGGATCTGGCTTCTGAGATGAAAAGAAAAAAAAAAAAAAAAAACAAACAAAAAAAAACCCCTACCTCTCTCAATAATCACACAGAATGTGAATGGGTTAAATGCCCCACTGAAGAGAAAAAGAGTAGCAGACTGGACGGAATGAATGAATGAATGAATGAATATATCCAACAAT